CGGATTCTCAAAGGGCTGTTGTGCAAGCAGAGAGTGGAAGGAAATACATCAAGAAGAAGAGAGACAGTCACACACCACCTGCTGGATGGAGCTCAAATCGACATCTCCGAAATCCTGCAGGGGAAAACCAACAAACCCTGCAGGCACACGTTGGATTTGGCAGCGTTTGACTATAACTCTCAGTGTTGGAGGCTCGATTACGCAATCCAGCAAAAATATACTACACAATGTAGAAAATGACAGGCTTGGTACAAACGCATGTCGTTTATAAATGAAGTACTATACCCCAATCACATTGGATGAGCTGTTCCTTATACAGAATGTATTCTGCTGTTGAAAAATACTAATATTATTAATATAAATACATATGGGTGGATTAACCCAAATCTGAATTTATTTATCTTTAAAAAAAAGAAATTCAATCTTAAGTAATCGTACACCATGTTTCGGTTACTATAATCCATTGAATTAAATACTTTGCAAATGAAAAGTAATTAATCTACCGGTAATTTGATAATTTTCTCTTTTTATTTGGAACTTATACAATTATTTGATCGCCCACAAATTTTGCATCAGTGCAGAAACGTGCAATACGTGTTGCAGTCCTTGTTTATTATTTATTTTATGTTATTGCTGACATAACTTTGTTTAAAATATGAGCAAATAATATTAGTAGTGTGCATAAAGTGGTAATTATGGCGGTGGCGTTTTCATAATAGAACCTTTGGTTTTTAGTACCTGTTTTTCTGGTTAATTTAAATCTAATTTTGTTTCTGTCTTTATGTAGCAAAACTGACATTAATACTGCCATTAATTGTTTTGCAGTTTAAAGGAAATTTGAATACCGTTAATGGTTTTTGAAATTGGTTAATATTAATAGATAATGAAAACAAGTAAAAGAAAAAACTCCTTAAAGGGTATTGAAACCCCAACACACATTTTTTGAGAACATGCACATCGCTGAAAGCACTTTCGTTCTTCTGGGTTGAAAACGAAGCAACGTCACGGTATGTGAGGTAGAAGCGTACTTTAGGAGTGTGTGATTGGCTGCCGGCACGATTCTCCGTCAGCAGTTTCTGAGTGCTTCTTTGCATTTATCCATGAGAATGAACTGTTTTAACCCAATTACTGCGCTGTATTACGCATGCGATCGCATTACAGTGGAGGAAGAACGTCACGATGATTGGAACAACGCTCGAAACAACGCGGATTGTATAGATCGTTTACGGACCGGAGCAAGCATGTTTCAAGTTTTTATGAGCATATTTAATATGCTCTAGTGCTTTAAACATGAACCAGAACCGCATATGCACACAAATTTAATCACATCTTATCCAAATGAAATATATATGTGCAATGAAGGGAGGGGTGTGTTTGTTTGGGTTGATTTCAAATACCAACAGTATTCAACAACGATTCTGAAAAATCGCATACTGCACATCTTTACTCTTTTCACACATCTTACTCTTTTTATTTGTATCTGTATTTGTATTTGCTGCTGTTGAATGCCTGAGCCCCACAACAAGCATTTCAATGTTCAAACTGTCACTGACATCTTGTGCATATGACAAATAAACTTGACACTTGAAACTAGATCTTTCTGATTATGCTGTGTTAGCCACTTGACAAAATAGTGTTGTCTCTGAGGCATGGTACGAACATGTTGCTCGCGGTAAAACAAGGGATTCAAACAACAATTCTGTGTTGAGCTATATAACAATGATTTAGTTTTCGGTCTATAGAAGTATCCAAACAGTTGCTCACCTGTCTTTTTAAACACAATATATTAAAAATTGGAAATCAAGGGTAGCACGGATATTGCGGATTACACTGGTTAAAATAGCTAATTTCTCTGGATTTAAACACTTGGAAACATTTGGGATAATGTAACATTGGATATTTTTAATTTAAAAATCTTACATATTGTGAGATTTGTTGTATGACTGGGTTTATTCTTTTTCTTACTATTGCTGCCAATTTGGAAACAAACAATAAGTAGCCTAGCTCTGAAATGTACATCTTAGCCATACACAAGTTTGCTGGGAAATAAGTGTTGCGATGGACCACCTGGAGCTCTAATTGAATACTGCTGGTTTATGGAAGGAGATGCTTCCAAAAGATCCAAAATCTTTGAATCTCATCAAAGATCATTAGGCACAGTCGTCTGATTGATAAGCATTTGTAACTCACAGGGAGTAAAAAAGGTTTAAAGGAAACGATTACTCATACTACATGTCAGTTGAACTGAATTGCAGTATAGCGTGAGTAATTTTGGCTGACATGAAAGAGCCTGCCTCACCGGTTTATGAGCGGTGTCATCTTTCTAGTGACCCCTCTACTCTAACTTTAGGTCAGACTTGTTGGGCTTGAGAATACAAGCGTTCTTGTGAGCTAAACATGGGGCCTGGTATTACAGTATTCTGAAACCCGAAACCCTTATTGCAATTGGTGTCGTTTTTAAATGGGTGTGAAGGTATTACTTGCAACAATGTATGTATTGCTCTGCTCCGAATAGCCTGTCAATCAGCTGACATACAGCTTAATGTGTTCATGCAGATGGGAGCTAAATATGGCAGCTTGCGGCATGTTGGCTAACCTGTCAGACAGTTCTGGTTACCTGAGAAGGTGTCAGGGATTTGTAATACCAAAAAGCAGATCATCAAAGCGGTAAACCAGCACAAATGAAGCTCTATCGGGAGAGTGAAATTGCTCTAACACTTGTTGATGATCAGTGGCACTATTCCGCCAATGATTATTAGCTGTCCTGAGCATCTCCTGCCAGATAATTAATGGTGTGTTAACCCTCAGATGGCGTCATGTTGAACGCTGGAATAGAACACATCTGAAAACACAAGGCATCATACACTTGCCGACTTTGGTTACAGAGGAAAACACTGGGCATGGGCATACACTTAACAGGGGCCCTATGAAATCAGTTTTATTAGAACTTTACTGGTTTCTGTTTTAATGTTTAAATTAAATTTCAGTAATCAATAATCGAAATCATGACATATTCTATAATTTAGCAACAATTTATCAAAATTTGAACACAATTATTATTTTAGGGCCCCGATGAAATCTGAAAACACTATTTCAACGGTTTGATTATATTTATATATCACATCATGGAACAAACGCGTGTAGAAACGTGCATCGTTGCATGACAAAAAAAAAAAAATTCTAAAATCGGCTCAAAAAAATTTCTGATGTCCTACGACTGGGAATTTTTTTTCTCCTCCTGTGAAATCTGTCAGCTCAAGTCTACAGACATGCTCCGACTCTCAGCAACAAGCGTCGACTTATCCAGACTGTAAATCGGGGCAGACATTTGGGTAAAAGTTGTCTAGGTATTCCAGACTTAAAATGGCAATGAGCTGGTCAAATCAGGGTTCTGGGTGAAACAAAAGTCCCAGAAATAGTTGCTGGATTTGCCAAAGCCATATAATCTTTGCAAGATATGTTTTGTTTGATGGAGTTACTTAAATTCCTTATATCCGTGTTTCTAGATTTGGAAAGATTTGTCCACAATGTCTAAATCCATTTTTGTTTTGTTTTTAGTACCACATTTGACGAAGACTGCTACACCATTATTTGAATTTAATTGAAGATTAGGATATAACTGATTTTAAATGTACCTTCTTTTGTCACTTGAGTTTTACGTGTTATCAGGTTCATGTTCCTTCCAGTTCAAGCATGCCCTTCTTAGCTAGGAGACAACATGCACCTTGCCCAGGGCTTCAGACTAACACTCGAGAGCAGTAGCACCGGTGCCACTAGTTTCTACAGATACTAATAATATTACGTTTATGTCTTGGAAATGCACATTTGACAGCAAAGCACTGAGCTTGAGTTGAGATGCAGATCAAATTAACTTTGATTAACAACAGAAATGTGTTTTAGAAATATTTTACTTATTAAATGTACCATTGTTTTTCTATAGCATCATACTGAACTGACGGACAGCTTCAGTCATTATAAAAGGAGAGCTCTTGCTTTGTGTAATTCAGTTGCAAGTTAAAGAAAAGTTTGTTTTTCGTGAGACTTTTTGACTTTTTCTACTTTATACTTTAGTACAAAAAAGTGCCAAATTTGACAATAAAATATTTCTTGATGATTTGATATTTTATAATAGTGACTTTTCTAATGTCTAAATATAAATCCAAAAGCAAAACTTGTGTAAAAATATATTCTGCCTAATAAGCCAATGATTGCTCCTCCTAGTCTTTTTTATTTTTAAATAAAAGTGTTTTGTTTGCCACGAAGTGTTAGTTTTCCTACATCTTGAGTTGAAACCTTTAATTATGGGAACAATCTTTGAAGGATGAACAAATAATGTTTTTGGTCATCACATTAAAATAACATTTAAATTGAATAATGGGATAATATTTAGACATTTGATAATATTCGAATTTGAAGTCTCTAAAGGTTGTACGAACCTTGAAAATATTATTTCTGCCACAATACCATGGTTACAGTTAATGTTTCTACATTAAATCCATTGTGGATGTCGGTTATTTGTGGACTGAAAAGCGTTCTATAAGTTGTTTGTTTCGCTCATGACACATTTCTCCCGATTTCCACGTCGACGCTGTTTATTTTGATATCTATCTATGGTTTATAACAGAATTCTGCACTGAGTTTGAATGCTTCTCACTAGATCTCGATTCAGTGTTATTAATACTGTGGCGAATTCAAACAGTTTCTCACTTGATCTCCCAGCTCTCGAGATCGAGATCGGCCCGAAATTAAATCTGTTCTGAGCTCGTGCTGCGCTTTCTTAGTAAACTTGTGTTTTTTATGTGTTTCTTTTGGTGCAAATTCATTTGTGACTTGGTAATAGCAGGCTACATTAAACTCAATATTAAATACTTTGTTAGGTGGCCACTTAATGTCCAATGTGAAATATGGGTCTTTTGTTGATTGTATTAGAAGAGCTATTTAATTTCATTTGAAATGCCTTCAACTTTTTTTCTTTGTATTCTTTTTTCCTCTTTGGCCAGGCCTGAAGTGAGCAGTTCCAATCCGTCCGGATCAGTCAAGCCCAGCGGAAACGGCCATAAGATCTGCTTGGTGTGCTCAGATGAGGCCTCTGGATGTCATTATGGTGTGCTCACCTGTGGCAGCTGCAAGGTTTTCTTCAAAAGAGCCGTAGAGGGTGAGCCTGCAGGACTTACACTTACTACGTCATCTTCCTTTTTGACGGCACTGGGCTGATAAATGCGTTGATTCTCATTTTATTATACAGTGAACAACAAACGAATTGCATGTAATCAGGTTGTCCTGTCGAATACATTTTGAATAGCGTACAATGGCTGATAAAATGATGGCATATGGACACTCAATTTAGTTTTGATGATTTTCGTCCATGTCTGTTAGGCCATCTATATGTTAAAAGTGTGATTTATTTTTGGAATGTACACAACATTTTTATTTATAGCACAAGGCCCATTGATATTTAATGCTCTAACCTCTAGTTTATATTGGAAAGACATCAAATAGTACGTAGCAAATGAGTTGCACAGACAATTGATGAAATTAAATGAGCATTTATTTTATGTATTATTTAATGAAAGTTAAATAATACAATCATTAATGATATTATTTTATATCGTCCGGTGAGTGTGCATTTAATATGTGTGCATTAATTCTGATATTGCAAGGTGTGGATTTATTATTGTGATCCTTTTGTAAATCACTCAATACAGCTTGTGTTTGAAAGCATGAGCATGATTCTATATTAAAATTTAATATAGAATTCATGACCTAGAAACAGTGGAGAATCTGAAATATTTCTCATTTACTCAGACTTCTGAACCACTGCTTTTTTCGCCTAATAGTCACCTACACTGTGTACTGAGCATGACCTTAATCTATATCGTTTGAGTAATTTCTGTGTGATCTACTCCATCAATCAGAGTTTCTGTAAACCTCAGTAGACAGATGATCGGGTTTGCCTCAATTAATCACAGGAAGAAAAAAAAACTGAAACATTGTCAAAGTGTGGTTTCCTGTGGAGGTGTTACCTTGAGATAAGATATTTCTTTAGAGTTGTAACACAGAATGTGTCTAGAAAAAGAGCATGCAGCAATAAGGCATGTGTGCTTGGCTACCTGACAAAATACCCTACTGTTTAAACACATGCTCCATCCGAATACTGAACTACAGGGCAGTGCACCTGCATAATATTCACTGCAATATCTACTCCTTTGGCTTTATCCACTATCCATTCTCTGAAGAGCACAAAATAGAGTTCCAAAAATAAAATACAATTCATTTTCTCCTCAAATTAGATTACTTATAAACCTTTCAGAACAGACCTTCCATGTACTCAGAGGTTGAAGTGATGGTGTTTCTGTGGAAGCTATGCACACAAGTCAAAGTCATTTCCGTTGCATTAAAAAAAAAACAACAGTGGAGAACTACATTACCCATAATCCTGAAGAAAAACCCATCAATTAGAAAAGCATTTGCATCTGAATTATAGACGGTAAAAAAAGATGGATGATGCACATTCACTATCTTCCATTGTAGAAAAGTGAAGCCACCAATGTCCCGATATGGCGCTGACATATTGCGCTGATTCGGAACCCGAGACTGCGCAGTAGTGAGCGTGAAGTGGAGCCTCGGTATCAGGTATCAGCCCACACTCCCGCAGAATCGACTAGTACAGTTTACTGCAGAACAACTCATAATGTTGATGTGAAATATGGAAATGTAAAAAAATAAAGGTAAAGGAAAATCCGAAATAAGTCCGTTGGTCCGGAGGAGGAACCTGCTGAAGCCGTATGAACCTGCTGAAGCCGTAGGAACCTGCTGAAGCCATAGGAACCTGCTGAAGCCGTATGAACCTGCTGAAGCCGTATGAACCTGCTGAAGCCGTATGAACCTGCTGAAGCCGTAGGAACCTGCTGAAGCCGTATGAACCTGCTGAAGCCGTATGAACCTGCTGAAGCCGTATGAACCTGCTGAAGCCGTAGGAACCTGCTGAAGCCGTAGGAACCTGCTGAAGCCGTATGAACCTGCTGAAGCCGTATGAACCTGCTGAAGCCGTAGGAACCTGCTGAAGCCGTAGGAACCTGCTGAAGCCGTATGAACCTGCTGAAGCCGTAGGAACCTGCTGAAGCCGTATGAACCTGCTGAAGCCGTAGGAACCTGCTGAAGCCGTAGGAACCTGCTGAAGCCGTATGAACCTGCTGAAGCCGTATGAACCTGCTGAAGCCGTAGGAACCTGCTGAAGCCGTATGAACCTGCTGAAGCCGTATGAACCTGCTGAAGCCGTATGAACCTGCTGAAGCCGTATGAACCTGCTGAAGCCGTAGGAACCTGCTGAAGCCGTATGAACCTGCTGAAGCCGTATGAACCTGCTGAAGCCGTATGAACCTGCTGAAGCCGTAGGAACCTGCTGAAGCCGTAGGAACCTGCTGAAGCCGTATGAACCTGCTGAAGCCGTATGAACCTGCTGAAGCCGTAGGAACCTGCTGAAGCCGTAGGAACCTGCTGAAGCCGTATGAACCTGCTGAAGCCGTAGGAACCTGCTGAAGCCGTATGAACCTGCTGAAGCCGTAGGAACCTGCTGAAGCCGTAGGAACCTGCTGAAGCCGTATGAACCTGCTGAAGCCGTATGAACCTGCTGAAGCCGTAGGAACCTGCTGAAGCCGTATGAACCTGCTGAAGCCGTAGGAACCTGCTGAAGCCGTAGGAACCTGCTGAAGCCGTAGGAACCTGCTGAAGCCGTAGGAACCTGCTGAAGCCGTATGAACCTGCTGAAGCCGTAGGAACCTGCTGAAGCCGTATGAACCTGCTGAAGCCGTAGGAACCTGCTGAAGCCGTAGGAACCTGCTGAAGCCGTATGAACCTGCTGAAGCCGTAGGAACCTGCTGAAGCCGTATGAACCTGCTGAAGCCGTATGAACCTGCTGAAGCCGTATGAACCTGCTGAAGCCGTAGGAACCTGCTGAAGCCGTAGGAACCTGCTGAAGCCGTATGAACCTGCTGAAGCCGTATGAACCTGCTGAAGCCGTATGAACCTGCTGAAGCCGTAGGAACCTGCTGAAGCCGTAGGAACCTGCTGAAGCCGTATGAACCTGCTGAAGCCGTATGAACCTGCTGAAGCCGTAGGAACCTGCTGAAGCCGTAGGAACCTGCTGAAGCCGTATGAACCTGCTGAAGCCGTAGGAACCTGCTGAAGCCGTATGAACCTGCTGAAGCCGTAGGAACCTGCTGAAGCCGTAGGAACCTGCTGAAGCCGTATGAACCTGCTGAAGCCGTATGAACCTGCTGAAGCCGTAGGAACCTGCTGAAGCCGTATGAACCTGCTGAAGCCGTAGGAACCTGCTGAAGCCGTAGGAACCTGCTGAAGCCGTAGGAACCTGCTGAAGCCGTAGGAACCTGCTGAAGCCGTATGAACCTGCTGAAGCCGTAGGAACCTGCTGAAGCCGTATGAACCTGCTGAAGCCGTAGGAACCTGCTGAAGCCGTAGGAACCTGCTGAAGCCGTAGGAACCTGCTGAAGCCGTATGAACCTGCTGAAGCCGTAGGAACCTGCTGAAGCCGTATGAACCTGCTGAAGCCGTATGAACCTGCTGAAGCCGTATGAACCTGCTGAAGCCGTATGAACCTGCTGAAGCCGTAGGAACCTGCTGAAGCCGTATGAACCTGCTGAAGCCGTATGAACCTGCTGAAGCCGTATGAACCTGCTGAAGCCGTAGGAACCTGCTGAAGCCGTAGGAACCTGCTGAAGCCGTATGAACCTGCTGAAGCCGTATGAACCTGCTGAAGCCGTAGGAACCTGCTGAAGCCGTATGAACCTGCTGAAGCCAACCTGCTGAAGCCGTATGAACCTGCTGAAGCCGTATGAACCTGCTGAAGCCGTAGGAACCTGCTGAAGCCGTAGGAACCTGCTGAAGCCGTAGGGATGGAGAGACAGAGTGCAGCGGAAGGTTTGCAAGTCCATGGCGCAGGCAGAGTGACGACTGAACCCGATGGAACCGTAAGGCAATGGAATGGAACCCGGTGGAGCCGTAAGGCCGAGGGTCTGGTGGAGCCAAGGGTGGGAGAGGCCAAGGAGGACCCGACAGGCCGTGGTGGAGCGTGGGGATCAGAGGCCGAGGCGGAGACGAGGGATCCTCTCGCTTGGTGAATGCACGACCCGAGGCTTCACAACAGCACAAGGCATCACATGGGACGATGAAGGGCTGCTGGTATCCAGCTGAGGCGGAGCTCATTCATCGCGGCGGGGCGGAAGCTCTCCGCCTGCAGGGGGGCTCTAGCAAAATCTCCAGGGTGGTGGGTGGTGGTGAGCTGGGCTCTGGGTCTGGCTGTAGTCTGGATCGAGGGTAGGTGCTCTCCAGGATGTCTACAGGATGATGGTAATTTGCCCTGATCCAACACAATGACTTGATGGTCTCGTCGTCAAAAGGAGCGCTGGCGGCGAGGCTGCAAAACTCCACTGTAAAGTCCATCATTTCCAGTCCTCTCCGGGCCAATACAGTCAATTTCGCTGCATAATCAATTGTGGGTCTGGTCTTCTGTCACGATGTGTTGCAACTTGCAGGCAAATACACAGATGATGGTGAAGTTTCATCACAAAGTTTTAATAATAATTCACATAGCCACAGAACAAAAGGTTGGTGCAAACACTCTTTACACAGTAGTGATGGGTGATTCATGAATGATCCGTTCATTGCGTCTGGCACATGACAAATGAACAAAAGACTCGGAAGGATGCATTATAATGATTTCTTCATTCAAAATATGATCAAGGTGGATGTGTTCGGGGAATTTGGCTGTTAAAAGTTTAACATTTAAAGCCGCTCAATCATGAACGAAATGACTCGAATAAAAATTCTTTCATTTTGATGAACGAGATAGAGCGATAGAGAGTCTGTAAAATGATCCGAACTCCCCATCACTATTACACAGGCGAGACCAGACACTAAACAAAAGAAAAGGAGGACCTCAAGTAGTAGTACAAACAAGGTAAATAAATGAAATACAGCAGAACTAAAATAATGAATCATTTCAGTAACCATGTTAAAACCATGTGGGTATCTTTCCCACCACTAAAGAGTGTTGGGAAAGTCAAACAAAGGAAACCAGAAAACTAAAGATACAGAAACTTAAAGTCCCTGAAAACGAAACTAAGATAAAAACAACGGTTGCACAGTATTAGCATTTAGTGTGACTAAAAGACTAGTTGTGTGGACACTCTTTGAAGGTGGTGGTTTTGTAAAACGACTGGTTTTGTGGCGAGAAGCCTCTGTTCTTTTTATGCAAAAATAACAGATATGAATGTGTCCTGCATAGAGGATTCTTCATATTGTAAAATTCATAGTTGTAGCTAAACTGAAATGATTAACTTTCGCTAACCAACATCATTTGTTGTCAAAGTGTCAGCATGAACTGAGCTGTGTTTTCAGCACTTGATACATTTATATCTGTTATTTTTGTTTTTCTTCCCTGATTTCTTCGGTTGCTCTGGCAATGGTGAAGGATGGAGAGCACGACAAAACACTGATGGTAAATAAATTCACTTTAAATAATGCTTTTGCTAACAGTCGCCCCACAATGCACCTGTGCTTAAATGCTTTTGTCTAATAATTCATAGTAGTAACACTGGTACAATGAAGCTCAATCCTTGGAGCGGGAAAAGAAATCACCCACAAGCACTGTCAGAAATGAATGGTTAGCTAGACTTATTTTTACCTTTTTTTATTCTATTAACCTTTATCAGGACATTTTTCATTCGAACCAAATAAAAACATGGGTAACACTTTATAATAACTACACGCTAATAATCATTAGTTAAGCATGAGTAAACAGTTAATTCATCATTCATAAAGCATTAATAGACATTAATAAGCAGTTTATAAATACAGCTATAAATGCTTTCTTCTTGATTTACAAGCATATCTATAATTTATTTAATAATTGTATTTTCATCCTTTATTAATGATCAATTTATTATTTCTAAATGATTAATTGCATTTTTTATAAACCAGTTATTTAAGAGTTTTCAGTGGTTCACAAGATTACTTAGAACGTGTAAGTAAATGATTAATAAACTATTTAAATGTACATTCATACATCTTATTATTCAGACATATAGTGATGGTTACTTAGTGTGTTAATAAGTGCTTTATTAACATGTATTTATGCAGTAATTCAGGGTTAATTCGGGTAGTTATAAAGTATTTAGTAGTGGTCAGTTAACTATGTTTGTGAGCTCATCTAAAGTGAGGACTATTCATGCCTTGTAAAGCATTTATAAAGGAGATTTAAAGGCTGTTAAATATTTCTATGTTGTGTATCACTGTGTTGTGTTTGTTACATTTTACTGTTTAGAAGATTGATGAGCCTTTAAATCTCCTTTTATAAATGCTTTACAAGGCATGAATAGTCCTCACTTTAGATTAGCTCACAAAATAGTTAACTGACCACTACTAAATGCTTTATAACTACCTGTATTTACTACATTTACTTACACTTTCTAAGTGATCTTATGAATAACTGACAACTCTTAAATAACTGGTTTATAAATAATGCTGTACTTCATTTAGAAATTATTAATTGATCATTAACAAAGTATGAAAATACAATTATTAAACGCATTATAGATATGCTTATAAATCAAGAAAAAAAGTGTTTATAGCTGTATTTATAAACTGCTTATTAATGTCTATTAATGCTTTATAAATGATGAATTAACTGTTTACTCATGCGTAACAAATGATTAATAGCATGCAGTTATTATAAAGTGTTACCAAAACGGTTTCTCCAATTATGTCAAACAACCTATTTTCATTATTGGCCATTATTATGGCTCAGTTATGGCCATTATGTGTAAAATCAATTCAGCATTAAATTCAAGTAGCTGACAATAATGCACATGATATCATAACACAATGAACACGTAAAATATATATTTGAAATAATTGGCGGGCACATGTGTTGTTTGATTACATCAATCTACTAACCTCTATGTTAAGTTTATGAATATTTTCTTAATGTTTGAATTTTTAAAAGTTAGCTAGAACAGCACTTGCCTCTGATACAGTTAATATTTATTTAGGACATATTTGTCACTATGTTATTCAACCCAAGTTGATTTCTGACCCTGCTCACAGGCATGTTAACTGCACTAGTTTTTAGTATCTAGTTTGCATTCTGATAATCATCATAGTTTGCACTTGACTTGACTTTGCTTGCATCACAGTTGGTGTATGAGTCCATTTGCATTGATCGGTTTTGTTGATGTGTCTTTACTATGACTAATGGGAAGACATTTGAGTCAGAGTGCTAAAGCCTGCTAAACATGTTTGGGGCATTATTGTTTTATTTGAACAGTTAATGAAAAGAGGACGTTGGGTGTCAAGCGGTGTTCTGGGAAATGAGGATAAAGCTAAATTGTCTTTTGATCACTTTTCCTCATCTATTTAGTTGAAAGGCAGACAGAAATGGATTTCCAAGCTCTATTTATCAGGTGAAAAATAAGCTTAAATAAAAAATATGCTTAATCGAAGATATATTATGTAAAGTTTTCTCAATCTTCTCTATGCAGATGTAATGTAAATATAATTGTCACTACTTGCATTTCCATGCATGGTTCCCAAAATGTTTTGGGAATGTTAGTTTTTATAAAAATAATCTTTTTTTTTTATAAAGCGCCTTTCCCAAGTTCAAGGTCGTTGTACACAAACACAGCATCAAACATATGTATCATATAGTACATGCATATACACATACAAATAGGTAGTAACTAAACAGCAGAGCACTGTTCATTATTAAATATAATGTAAAAATAACAATTAGAGAACATTATGTTTAGCTTCTAATTAGGTTGTCACACAAAATCCTCCCTGCAATGTTATAGTTAGAGAGAAATAGAACAAAGAGACACAGAAACTGTTTTTAAATAGCAGCATATACTTGGCAATTGGATGCTTTGAAATGCTTCAAAATGAACAATTCTGTAAGTTGGGTCTCTACAGACTGTTGGATGGCATGTTCTCCACACCAAATGGAGGGATCCTCAAAGGGCTGAGTGCTTGGCAGTAGATTGGTAGAGGTGGCGTTTGATTATTCATCTGTTTTGGCGTACAAGTCTGTAATAATTCCAAGCATGTCTGACTTAAAGCTTTCAGAAGTTTGTAGAAATGAATAAAGATGTGACTGTTATGTTCTCATAATGTGTACAGCATGTGCCGGAATGGCTTTTTACAGGGATGCTTCAACCAGTTCTAGGAGCTACCCACCAGGGTGGTTCCCCGAGAACTAATGGTTCCCTTAGGAACGTTTTCCTGGTTGCATTCGCACTGCCAGTAGGAACTCTGAAGTGACGTAAGCCGCGCTCGTTGTTGTGACTTTTATTTTTACAGCGCGGCGGACCTTTATTTTGACAGTGCTGAGAACGCCAGCCAGAGCCTGAGCAAACAAACAGTGCTCGCATTCTCAGTGTTCAATAGTTTACAATCTGTCTAACAGTCCTGTCTAATACGTTATTAAATAGAACTGTTTTACATAGAAAGTAGACAGTAATGAAAAGTTATTAGCGAATGCCGTGTGGTTGATGTCCAGTGTTTGCTAGCTGAGCGGAAATACATAATCATGTTTGGCTTGATTCCCTCAAAGTTGCGTTGGATTTTTCTTCATAGGTAAAGGTTAAGAGGTCCATCTATCACTGTTTTCCATGTTCGTAGAGTTCATTTCTGGAGTAAATATATAGGCTATAATCTGTGTGATTAATCACAGCTTTTTAAAAAATGGTGGGTACCGGTGTTTCGCGTGCGTTCGGCCAATCAGCGCACACTAACTTCACGGATAGTTCCTATAGTGCTGGTTTAGACCCGACTCTGAAGTACGAGTTAGTTCCTCCAAAAGGAGTTCCTAGAACTAAAATCGTTACTAGTTCCTGCGGTGCGAACACGCCAAAATCCGGGAACTTCCGCCAATAGTTCTAGTCAAGTCACCTTTATTTATATAGCGCTTTTTACAATACAGATTGTTTCAAAGCAGCTTTACAGAGATAACAGGAAAATAATGTTGTAATAATATTGTTAAATATAAAATTAAATGTCCCCAACTAAGTAAGCAAAACGCGAAGAAAGGCGACAGTGGCAAGGAACCAAAACTCCCATCAGTTCTAGAAACTATGAAAAGGTTCCTCCGGTGCGAAAGCCCCTTTAGTTACTTTTACTTTTACTTTTAAGACACTTAATCGGTGTGTCACTTTTCCTGATTGTTGCTGATTCTACAGGGAAATAAGTTCAATCTACAGAACTATGGATTCAGTCATCACTTTACTGGGGGGGGCGTGGGGGGGGGGTGATGCTATAACCCCAAACACCAGAGGCGCTCATTGCAATTGTAATTCTTTTTTTCCAGGGCAGCACAACTATCTCTGCGCTGGAAGAAATGATTGCATTATCGACAAGATAAGGAGGAAAAACTGCCCGGCATGCCGCTTCCGCAAGTGTCTTCAGGCCGGCATGAATCTGGAAGGTGAGGATGCTCTGATGGATTGATGAGCGGTTGTCATGTGGCTCACTTGAGTGATTTATATGACCTTTATATGCCACAGCACAGGAGCGCAAACCAGCAAGTTACTAGGAGTGACATTTGTGAGGAGTTTCTCAAAAATGATAGATTTCGATTGAACCGCTTTGAAGGGAAAAACTCAATTTTAATATGGTACACTTTTCGCATCAATGATCGAGAAATGTCAACTGTACAAATGTCATCAAATAATCCAGTTCCAGTATTTCTTTGAAACAAATACGCTTTTTTTTTTTCAGTGCACGTCCTTAAGTAGGTGGTAGAAAACACGGTGAGACCAAAGACTGTTTGTGCAGATTTTTCTTTCATGCGCAAAAGATGAAGGAAGTTCTCAAATGGCCAGAAAGCTTTAAGAAGGCAGCAGTGCCTCATTGACAGCGTGCTGATGTACTTCACAGATATTGGACAGGATTCATCCATCTCTGTGCAAGCCTTTAAAATTATGGGTGACTTATTTGCGTGAAGCACCGAAACAGGAGAAAAAAAAGACCTTGATGCAGGAGCTGCTAACTAAATCTGGGGTTGTAGAGAGGCTTTTAGTTGCCATAGAAACATTTATGGCAGAAAATTTAGAAAGTGGGACAAAATGACATTGTGCTTGATGGTAAGCTCACAATCAACAACTGCGATTTTCCGAGAGAAAACCTTCAAGAGGCGTTCGCACATCAAAACACACAGGCGTTCATGTCTCTTTTTATATAGTCTATGTGCTAAAATTTGAAAGATTCACTGGAATATTCCTTCATATAGGAACTCCATAATTGTATGAATTCACAATAAATGACTAAAAAGCACATGCTAATTCTTATTTTGTGGTAGTCATTACGTCACTTGAGAACATTGTCTTTAATATAGAACATTAGAATCTGGATTTGTTGATTTTAATTAGCTTTTTGGACAGAGGGCTTCTGCTTTTGGTTTCATGACGTTCATTTATATGTGTGTATATATAGTATACAGTATATATATATATATAAATATATATATATATATATATATATATATATATATATATATATATATATACAGTATATATACATATATGTTGTTCAGATATGTTTATATAAAAAAAATTCTGCAATGAATATGTTCTTAGTTTAAATCATACATTATTATAATATTTTTGTTGTCCAATATGCCCAAAGGACAGTTCTTTATTTACCTGTGGTTGCCAAAAAGTTATTTTATCAGACCCAATTTCAATAACAACGTCAAAATCCATTCCGATTTCGACATTTCAGCCACTGATAGCAGTTATTAATGCAGTTATGGAGAGAGAGAGAAAGAGATTAAGCGTATGTGAATTACTGTGAGTCTCTGTGTGCGTCTCTCAACGGTGTCATACTAAAAGCGAAACTGTACGTTCATCTGCTCCAAGAACAGGATCGTTATTACTTTGCCAAGTGTGTGTGTACTGTATGTGTGTGTGTGTGTTTGAGTGGGAGAGAGAGCGGGTGAAAGAGAGTATGCTTTCCGTACATAGTAAAACTTAATTTTGTTGCAAAAAAACATGGAAATAATTTGACGGTTTTATCCTATTGTTTTACGATATTTATTTATTTGGTCAGTGTTGTTGTGTTGTGTTTTTTAAAAATTTTTTTTTTATTGCTGTTTCGAAATAACTGGAATCATTTGGCGAAGTGATATGGAACTGTAATGTGGTCAAGACCTGGCTGGAACTACTTTAGCCATGCGTTTCCCTGAAAATAATTGCACACCTTAGAGCGTTCGTCAACCAATCAGATTCAAGCATTCAACAGCCTCGTAGTATAAATAATATTGTTGGATACAACTTTTGATTTTAATGATTTAAATGCTTAAACTTGAAATGAACATAAGATTAATAGAGTTAATGCTTAAAAGTATTTGTCATTGCAAGTTCATGTTAACTAATGGAACCTTATTGTAAATAAATTTGACTCGACGTGCACAGGAAATTTACTTTGTACTTGAAGGTTTTACCATATGATTTTTTTTTTTTACTTGTTTTGAAGATGCAAATGTTTTTCAGCAATGATTGTTCTTAGAACTAGCACATGTGGTTTAAACTAGATCTTTCATCTTTGAGATCAGTGTCACTGAATCATTTGCAAAACCTGAACAGCAACAGAATATATGAGAATGAATTTCCCAAAGGCTGTATCAAGATAAAAGATAAAAGTATTTAGTCATGTAGGTGTCTGCACTTAAATCCCAAGAATCGATCTTTCAGTCTGTGTTGTTTCCAGTTAATGAATGAACAAAGCTTCGTATCGCGCCTTCAATCCAATATATCGCAATAAGCTTTGTGCTACGCTACTTCTGGTATAAAACAAAGTCTCAGCTTTCAAATTCTGTCATTTTTATTGTGAAATTCAAACAATTTTGGCGCTCTTTAATGTGGCGCGTACACATTGCATAGCAGTTTAAGCGAAGCGGCAGAACGGAGCTCACGTGAACAAATCATCTCTTCCGCATTACTACTAGTTACAGCAACAACAAAAAATAACATGAATGGACATCAAAAGGTATGTTAAAAGATACAGTGCAACTTACATAAATCCGTATTATGTCTCATGTAATCGCGCAATCAGTGTTTCAATCACGAAAGTCATCAATAAAACAGATTGTAAGCAATGCATTGGCTGCATTCATACCATGTTGTAATTATCGTAAATAAAGCTCTGTATTAGCCTGGCAAGCCAGACCTACATCAAGATGTTAAGTCTGGGAACTTACAATTGGCATACCTCAATCCGAGGGGCGGGATAAACTGTTGTCTTTCAATATCCCTCGGCACGCAATAGGACCGCGCTACAACCAACCAGAGCAACGAACGGCTGTGGCTGTGTGAGTCCCATGCGTTTTCCCACCAGCGGAGCTAGTTGATATATTAATCTTTTGCCGTATCCGATCGTCAAAACTCATCTCAAAACACATCTTCCTTTTTTAAGAATGACTTAAGTTACGTTCTCTTAACTCCAAGTCATCCAGAGTCGCGGCCAAATCCGATTCGAAAGACCGCTGTTCGCCAGCAGCATCTTCTTTGTTTTCAAGTAACGTTAGCAGGGAAATCACCTATGGAAATCACGCGGAACCGTCACATCTCTGCCGTCATTGTTAAGCCCGCCCACCAACTCTATACTCGATGTGATTGGCCTGACCAGAGTTTGGTTTTTCCAGCTCGAAAAGCCAACGGAGAGTTGCTAGACCACACTTTGCTGCAAAATAATTTTTGCTGCCGCTAGGGTGCGTCTAGATTTCTAGGCTAGCTCTGTATGCTTTTGAATCGCTCTCGCGGTACTCGAGTCGAACGCATCTTAAATCTGCAGTGATCAGGTGGTACAGCGGCCGCGCGGCACGATTCATTGCTCTCGGAAAACTACGAGTTTACACGTTGTAATTACAAGTTCTACAAGCACGTGAAGGCTTTTTACAGTTCAGAATCGCTACGGTAATTACGACATGGAGTGAGTGCACCTAATGTCATGTAACGTCACATTTTCCTCAGGAAAGCCATTCAATGTCCAAAAACTCATTAATCAGCTAGAAAAAAATGAGCATAGAGAGGAGCATTTTGCTAAATATATATATTATATTGCATATACGTTGTATTTTTACTTAACCTGTTCTTTAATATTTAATTGTGTTTGAATACATTCTTCAGCCAACATTTAAATGTTTACTAAGTTCATAAATGAGTAGAAACCTAATTATGTCAATAAAAATGTATTATTAAACGTTGTTATAAAAAACGTCCTTATGTGTTAATGTACAGTAAGTATACAAATCAATTAATTTTAACCTTTAATATTATAGTGATGTACCAACTGGGTTTCCTGTATAGTTTACAGCATTAGTTGGGAGATATCTTTTGCCATGTACTGTACTGAAATCGAATTGAATAGCAAGCTTGTGAATTGAAATCGCATCGAATCATGAAATTTGTGCCAATGCCTAGCCATATTAAACATTCAGATTAAATAGTTTTTTTTAGATCAATGTCTTCATTGATTCATTAATATTCACATTTCTCTCTTTTATTTCAGCTCGAAAAAACAAGAAACTAATGCGGTTGCGGGGACATTCGTCCTCAAGTGAGCAGGCGCCCACTCTGCCCGAAGAGAACATGTGCTCGCTGGTGCCCAAGGCCATGCCCCAGCTGGTGCCCACCATGCTGTCCCTGCTCAAAGCCATTGAGCCGGAGATCATTTACTCGGGCTACGACAGCACCATCCCGGACACCTCCACCCGCCTCATGACGACACTTAACCGCTTGGGCGGCCGTCAAGTCGTCTCTGCAGTCAAGTGGGCCAAAGCCCTTCCTGGTGAGCCCTCAGAATTACCCATACCTTATATCATGCCAGAACTAGTGCTGTCAAATCGATTAATCGCAATTAATCGCATCTAACATATATAAGTGTTTATATATGTGTATATCTATTATTATATTTATGTCACACATATATTATATTATACAAACTATTATGTTAGATGCGATTAATCGATTTGACAGCACTATTTTACTTTACTTTATTTTCAATGAATGGGCTACTAGAAAGTCATCACCGACCAAAGGCGTGAGAAAAGAAGCACATGATATTCTCTGCTCTGGCAGTGTGTCATGGGCTTACTGGGCAAAAATGCTTGTGGAAAAGGATTACAAAAAGAACCACATGGTCGAGCAAACTCATTTCGAGCTGTACATCCCCTTTAAAGAGACATATAGAAGAAAACATTATACTATAGCCATTTTAGCATTCTGACAACAGTAATTCTTTTTCAAGTGACATGACGTGATGGTCAATTATGGTAACCCATACTCAGAATTTGTCCTCTGCATTTAACCCATCCAAGTTAGTTCACACACATTAGGAGTAGTGAGTAGTGAACACACACACACTTCAAACCGTGGACACACACACCCAGAGCAGTGGGCAGCCATTCACTGCGGCGCCCGGGGAGCGATTGGGGGTTTGATGCCTTGCTCAAGAACACCTCATCATTTCCTGCCAGTATCGAGAATCAAACCCGCAACCTTCGGGTTACCAGTCTCTATCCATTAGGCCACGACTTGAAAACATGACACACATGTGGAAGTTCAAAGATAATGATTTCTCTCTGTTTTCTTATGTGATGTGTATATCTGGCCCTAATGATTATTTCATTCAATTGAATCTGACATTTTATGTAACAATGGTTTCACGAACAATTTACACAAATTTGTTCTGCTCCAGTTTCATGAATAAAGCCCAGTGTCTTTGGAGGGTTTTGATGTCAGGAAAGAAGGTTTGGTTTTGATTTTAGTGCCATCAAAATCAGAACAGAGATGTAATTATGAAGTTGCTTCAGAGAGATCTGAAGCAAGAGCAGTCGTGTAATATTGTACAGGCTAAATCTCAAAAACAAAGTGTAATTCAAACCATTTTACATTTTGAAACGAGGCCCTTCGATGATTCTTTGCAGCTCTTTGGTTCAGCAGAGAATGTTCTTTATTTCATGAACTGTTTTGCTTGTGTCGGACTCTTGAGTTATGGTGTTTTTAAGAGTGTATACTTCCTATAGTGTTAACGTCCCTGTCATATTCAGGCTTCAGAAACCTGCACTTGGATGACCAGATGACACTGTTGCAGTGCTCCTGGCTCTTCCTCATGTCCTTCGGCTTGGGCTGGAGATCCTACCAGCAGTGTGATGGAGGCATGCTGTGTTTCGCTCCAGACCTCGTCATCAATGAGTGAGCCCATCTTTACTACCCACAGTTGGAATCTTTTGGCTTTTAATGCCAGGTTATGTGTTTTTCAACACACATTGTTAAACTTCCAGACTATATTGACCATAAGTCAATTATCTTTCTCTATCGGTTATCAGACTTTTCTTTTTTGTCTTTTTAAATAGACTTTTGTTTAATGATGAAAACCCCTAGACCTGTCTTGTAAGTGTTATATGTGCTCTATTTCAATGTAAGTGTTTCCTTTGGGTTATTCTTAATGAAAATCTAGGTCTTTTGATATCTGAATAATGAGCAAAGCAGGGCTGTGCGCTGACTTTTGAGATGTTAGCTCTGGTCCTAGAGGGACGGAAATGTAAATTTAATAGGACAAAGAAAGGACATGGTGTGTGAATATTCAATCCATTGAACTTCGCAAAAGTTAGCAAATCGTCAACTACTTCTTTCTCAGACATGCTTATCGTAGCAGCCTAGGAGCTTTATTGCATATTTATAATACAATTTGCATTACAAAAACTTTTAAAAGTGAATAATATTTAATTACACAATATGTTCTATTTATATTAGTTAGTCATATGTATTGCATTGAATGACAATGAAATGACAGCTTCTGGGTATTAAACATTTGATGCACAACTAGGAAATGCAAATCCTACATGTTGCATTTGTCAGTTTGGGAATTGCACATTATATCGCATATTCTTTTCTGTCAATATATATAATCCTATCGTCAATAAATCCAATTAAACCTGTATAATTTCACAGGCATGCTGCTTTATGTCCATGTCAAAGATAAAATGATCGGATGTTAGAATAAATATCTAGTTCAGTCATAAAACTCTAGATGGCGCAGGCTGTTTGTCCTTTACATGAAATCTGCAAGCAATCACATCATTACCGCATGGCTGTCTCAGCTGATCCTGCAGCCAATGAGATTGCTTGCCCAACATTTAAATAGTCTGGTTCAGTGTTTGCTGTAGAGTAAAACCCTTCACCTTCCCCAGCTCCACCTGCCTAGATCTGCTACGGGATTTATGTATGTCTATTTATGCAGCAGCAACATATTGTCACGGGTGGAATAATGGTGAAGCGAGGATTCAAGTGTGAGAATGGAAGGATCTTTAATTATAACAAAATGGAAACAAAATACAAACAAAACATCCCTGTGGGGGAAAAACAACGCAGGCATCAAAATACATCAGAAACTATGGCAGGACACAAGAACACAAGGATACATAGATGACGAACCAGCACAGGACTGCAAACACAGGGAGAATAAATAGGGAAGCAAATAAAAAGGGGTAACAAGGGAAGGCAGGTGGGGCAAATGAATCAATAATCAGATAACAAGATGGGAGGGGCTAGACAATCGACAGGAGAGCACATGGCACAAGGAAACACATGACAAGCCATGTGCTCACAACATACAGGACTATAACACAAGCACATGACAAACCGGGAGTGTCACTCAGAGCTCTGTCACCAAACCAAGATATAAACTAGACAGAAGTGACAGAGCCCTGACACATACTTTACATGTTCACAGCAGCGTGTCTCCGTATCTATAAGCAGTAGCAAGTTCATACTTGTGCAGCTGAAGCGTAGAAGATCTAGTCCGCCAAGACCAAATACATTAACATTGCCATATTCATTATCATGCTAAAACCATTTCAAGATGTCATGATTGAACCGTTTCTTTTGTCTGCCATGATGTTTGGCCTTCTCTCTCTCTCTTTGGTGCTGTGAAATGCTTTTAGAATATAAATATGTGTGTGTTAAAGGGAGAGGATGAAACTGCCCTACATGGGTGACCAGTGTAACCAGATGCTGAAGATTGCCAGTGAGCTGGTCCGGCTGCAGGTGTCCTACGACGAGTATCTCTGCATGAAAGTGCTTCTCCTCCTCAGCACAGGTACTGTACCAGCTGTCATCAGAATTCACAAGTATATCGCACTTACAGTGACCTCAAAAAAGTATTTTGACACCAAAGTCCTTAAAAAGTTATTTATTTTAGAGAAAGCACATATTTCACAATTTTGTGGTTTCAAATTATAAAACAATGTATAGTTTATGTATTCGGACACTTTATCAGACAACAGTGGAACATGTTCATAATTAATGTGATGAAATACACCTGTGGATACTTTCCTAGGATGCCTGTGTAAGGTGAATTAATGCAGTCATGTGACTTCAGTGTCCAAATAGATTTTCAGGCCACTGTTTTACTGTCCTATGCCTATTTTCCATGGTATATTGGTTATATGGTGACACTATTTTACAGTGTCTTTGTGGTAACACTTTACTTGAAGGGGTGTGCATAAGACCTGACACCTTCATAATCATGACATGACACGTGTCATGAATATGAAGGAGGTTTTATGCATGTTTATGTCATTTGCTCAATTATGACATTTTGAATGCAAATATGACATTGTTTGAGATGTCTTCGTTATGACAACTTGACATAAACCAATTAGAGATGCACCGATTGATCGGCTGGTGACCGGAATTGGCCGATTTTCACGTGATCGGCGACCGGCCGGTCAGTCTGACATATGCCGATTTTATGCCGGTCGAATGCACTCGGGCGCCGCATGATTAACATCGCGCAACATCAGCATCACACGTGCACACGGAACGCACATGTAGGAAACCTCGTGAATTTCGGCCGTTTCACACCGCAAACGTGAGCAGTGCGTATTATTTTCGGTGTGCATGTTAATCAATGAGTGCATTCACACCGGGAGCAGTAGCAGCGCGTGAGAGTCGAGCAGGAGCAGCGGTGAAGCGCGGGTTGCGGCGCAGAGTCTATTTTTGCTGCGCTGCTCACGCTCAATTAAGTGAAAGCACACTTTTGATGGACAAAATAAATATAATTTCACACAAAAGTGCCCAAAATGCACAGAATTTGCATGTCTGGAGTGTTTTAACAAGAACTGGAGTATAAGTCTGAAAAGAAAATGAATTTTCTTTTTGAAATGAACAAATTTTTTAAGTGGATATTTTTTAAGTGAAAAGAAGGAAATGGTTCTTTCATAACACTGCACTTTAGATGTGTGTGAATTTCCCACACCAGGAGTCATTTATATAGTCCTATTTTATAGCTATTACTGTTCAAAAATGTTCTATGCAAAATGTAAAATGTTCTACTGAAGAAAAGAGAGAAAATAAATATTTGTTTGTGCTGTAAAGTGGTTAGAAAAAATGAAATCGGAATCGGCTAAAATTGGTATCGGCAGGTCAAACTCGGAAATCGGAATCGGCCTAGAAAATTGTAATCGGTGCATCTCTAAAACCAATACATCATAACCTGTCAGTGTCTTGGTAATGACAACTTGACATTACCAAGACAACATAAATTGTCATAAATATGTCATTAACATGACATAGCAGATTAATTATCAAACTTAAGAAACCAATTTGTTTTATGGGTTAACATTACATTAAACTCTCAGGTGGTTGGTTTTGACATTGGCTGTCATGAGGCCATTATAACTGTCATGAATATTTTTCTTGACCTCAACTACAGTGGTACAAATTGGCTGTCATGAGGCGATTTTAACATTTTAATGACAAATTCAATGTCAAAACAAAACTACCTGACAGTTGAATGTAATGTTAACCCATAAAGCTAAGTGATTTCTTAAGTTTGATCAATAATCTGCTATGTCATGTTTATGACATATTTATGACAGGTTGTGTTGTCTTAGTAATGTCAAGTTGTCATGACAAAGACACTGCGGGTTATGATGTATTGGTTTATGTCAAGGTTTCATTACCAAGCCATCTCAAACAATGTCATATTTGCATTAAAAATGTCATAATTGAGCGAATGACACTAATTGACAGTTGTCATAAACATGCATGATAGCTCCTTCATATTCATGACATGTGTCATGTCATATATATATATATTATTTTAAAAATATAATATTATTTTAGTATAAAATATAATGTTTCAAAAACATAAAAAAAAATAGTAACTTTATTAGGTCTATAGACAGCTAATAACAAACAAATATGCAACAAACAATAAATAACTAGTTGCAATATGGAATTAATTGTGCAGGGCTTTCACCGTGAGGTTGAGTTATACCGGAGGATTCTTTGGAAAAAGAAGGCTCCTTTTACCATGCCCTTTCCAAAACTCTGGTTAAAATCAATGACACGGTCTACACTGATCAATGAATATCGTATATTTACATTGTGCTTGCATTGTGTTAGTTTTATGATTAAAGTATTTGTGAAAGTTAAGTAAAGTCAAGTAGTACTAGTGAGCTCATTTGTGTGTTTAATAGACATGACTGTGATTGGCTAAAATGCTTAGTGCTGCAATGTTTTATTTAGAGTATATTTATTTAAATATAATGCTGTAATCAAGACTTTCCATTTTTAGTTCATCTAGGCAGCTGTAATCGTAAAAACTAGTCAAGATTTCCACATGTAATACTTATTTCATATGCAACAATGCTACCCAATCACAGCAGTGGGCGTTTACTTTGAAGAGAAGCCCATTTAAACAGTGCTCAAATCAAAGGGCTAAAATCAGGGTAGAACATTTTATTTTTGTTTCTAAATTGACAGTTTTTGATGTAAAAATCCTACTAACAACGTGTCCTCAGGAAACGAAATAAAAAATACACTTCATGACCCCCTTAAACCATCGTATTTACAGTCGTTTTAGGGTTTATGGCAGTTAATTCTGCAAACAAAGTTGTAAAATTGTATTTAACTTTACACAGGAGAGGTTTATTTCACACTAAAGTCCTATCAAAGGGGTCATATAATGGTACATGCACTTTTACAAGTTGATTGTACTGAAATGTGTGTTGGCAGTGCCTGTACACAACCATCATATAATGATAAAAATCCATCCAGTGTTTTTTTTTTTTTATCTCCTTATATATGTTTTCCCCGTCTCAAATCGAGCCGTCTGACCGTGTGACGTCACACGGTCGGACGCCCCTCCCACGATTGGACAGTAAATCATTCACACAATGTTCTGGGGTGCATGTTCATTTATAGATCAGTTCGTCCATTAATGCCCAGGAAAGTCTGTTTAAGGGCTGTGGGTCTTTTCTATGGCCTCTGCTTTTTCCACGTGACCACATTTTTAACAGCAATAAAACCAACTTATCTGATCGTAGTCATGTTAACCAAGACCCTTCTTGGTCTTGTTGGGGGGATGGGACCATAGATCCCACAGTGAGTTTTAAAGATCATTTGTTAAATGTAACAAATAATTGTGTCTGATTTGTCTCAGTCGTTACACCAATCACGTCAATGTGCTGGCTGGCTTTAGCATATCATTAGCAGTGAACTAGCAGGGGAGTCTCGAGAGCCAGGTTATCCCGCTATATTTTTCTGTTGATATGAAAAATCGGGTAGATTTAGCTAAATAACCCAGATGATAACTGGACACCAGTGCTGAATTGAACATGCACATAGTAATGTTATACGAGAACAATGTAGAAGGAATGCTTTGCATGCTTGCATTCTGTTTTACTTTCAGTTCCGTTTTAAACATAGTTGGCAATAGTTTATAGTGCTTAAAATTCAGTAAATATCCTGACAAACAGTCATACTTTCCGATGAGCCTCAGATCTCTCTATGTTGAAGTCCTGCTGTCTTATATGATTAGAGATCAGGATATAATTCCACCAAGACTATCAACGTCTTCTGCGTTTTGCATAGGTTCGTTTGTGTTTGCCAGCATCCCTGGGCCTCATATCCCTGGCTGATACGCCATTTATCTGAACGCCTCAGGGACCCAGCTTTCCATAGTTTCCTTTGAGTTGTATGTGAGCCGGTAGGACCGCTGCAAGAGGAACTCTCACATATGGTGTAGTCTCTTTTAATAAGCTTTATGGTGTGTCTCCGCACAAAGGTGTATATATACATATAACTTGAAGATGAAGATTGATGTGCCGATTTTAGTCAGTAGGGCAATTCTGAAAAATATGGTTAATATGTTCCTAGTGAAATGCTCTGTCAGACCTTTCCTGAGTGTGAATACTAATACACTCTTAGTATTGGCATTTGTTTAATTCTGATTCTTTAATGACATAATGACTTACAGACTTTGCTACGACTTTGATTAAAAGGCAATAATGTAATGTTAACGTCTAATCCTGACCCCATCTGTTTTCACAGTACCAAAGGATGGCCTTAAAAGCCAAGCTGTGTTTGATGAAATCCGCATGTCGTACATCAAGGAGCTTGGAAAAGCCATTGTTAAACGAGAGGAGAACTCCAGCCAGAACTGGCAGAGGTTCTACCAGCTCACTAAGCTTTTGGACACCATGCAGGAGGTAAGAGGGCATCTCTTACAATCAGCAAATGCAAATAAGAGACATTATCGGCACTGACGGAATTATTGCGCATACAAGAGAGAAAAACATGCTAGGCCAGAAACGCTTCTTGCAAGTATGGAACCGTGTGGTCAGCACATTGCAAATGTCTGGCCTACATACTTATTGCTTGAGGTGGGGGACTCGAGTCACATGACTTGATACGAGTCGCAAATTTAAGGACTTGATACATTTATAATTATAAATATGTATTATAATAAATTATCATTAATATTAGGGTATAAATGTAAAATTAAGGAAGTTAAGCAGGTCGTGGCCAATATAAACTCTAGGCTACTTGTTTCTTGTTTGGTACTGTGACGTGACTTGACTTGACCCTTAGCAGGACTCGACTTGACGCGCTTGGTTTGTCTGCACTGTGACTTGAGAATTACTTGAGACTTGATAGTAGGGACTAGAGACTTACTTGCGACTTGAACACGTTACTTGCTCCCACCTCTGCTTTTTGCACATACTGCATTAAAGGATTAGTTCACTTCAGAATTAAAATTTCCTGACAATTTAATCACCCCCACATCAACCAAGATATTCATGTCTTTCTTTCTTCAGTCGAAGAGAAATGAAGCTTTTTGAGGAAAACATTCCAGGATTTTTCTCCAAATAGTGGACTTCAATGGGGTCCAACGGTTTGAAGGTCCAAATTGCCATTTCAATGCAGCTTCAAAGGCCCTACACGATCCCAGCCGAGGAATAAGGGTCTCATCTTGCCAATTAAGGTCTTTAGGATCACTTGCAAATTAAAGGCAGGTGTGTTTGATTAGGGTTGGAGATGAACTGTGCAGGACAGTCGATCGGCAGGAGCAGGATTGGGCACCCCTGGTGTCTTTGAAGCTGCATTGAAACTGCAATTTGGACCTTCAAACCATTGGTTCCCATTGTCCCATAGTCCACTATATGGAGAAAAATCCTGGAATGTTTTCCACAAAAACCTTCATTTCTTTTCGACTGAAGAAAGAAAGACATGAACATCTTGGATGACGTGGGGGTGAGTAAATTATCAGGAAATTTTAATTCTGAAGTGAACTAATCCTTTAAAGGGATAGTTCGGCCAAAAATGATATTTAACACATCTATTACTCACCCTCAAGCCGTTCGAGATGCGTATGTCAATCTTGTTTCAGACGAACACATTTTCTGTTATTTTAGAAAATGTCTTAGACCCTTCAGTGGATATAATGTGAAGCAATGGGGTCCACCTCCTTCAAGTCCCAAAATGTGCATACATCCTTCACAAAAGTAATCCATCCGGCTCCATGGGGATAAACGAAGGCCTTCTGAGGGTAATCCGTGCGGTTTTGTCGTAAAAATATACATATTTAAAACTTTATAAATGAAAATATCTGACTTCCGGCAAGGATCGACGCGCGTTCACGGGTGATGGAAGTCGGCGTACGAGGTAGGACGTAGCGTAGGAACCGTCGTGACGTAGACGTTGTTTTGCTCTGCTCTCTGGCTGCGCAGGCGCGTTCGTTCTACGTCACGACGGTTCCGACGCTACGTCCTACCTCGTACGCCGACTTCCATCACCCGTGAACGCGCGTCGATCGTTGCCGGAAGTCAGATATTTTCATTTATAAAGTTTTAAATATGTATATTTTTACGACAAAACCGCACGGATTACCCTCAGAAGGCCTTCGTTTATCCCCCTGGAGCCGGATGGATTACTTTTGTGAAGGATGTATGCACATTTTGGGACTTGAAGGAGCTGGACCCCATTGCTTCACATTATATCCACTGAAGGGTCTAAGACATTTTCTAAAATAACTGAAAATGTGTTCGTCTGAAACAAGATTGACATATGCATCTCGAACGGCTTGAGGGTGAGTAATGCATGTGTTAAATATCATTTTTGGCCGAACTATCCCTTTAAAGCCCAACCCTGTCCATAGAGAGCTAGAGAGCTGCTCAAACACACCTGTCAGCAACTTTCAGATGTTCCTGAAGATCTTAATCAGCTGGTTCAGTTTGATTAGGGTTGGAGTTGAATTTAGCAGGAAGATCCTAGTGTAGTGTGGTACGACCCAAAACCTGTTTAACGGTGTTGTTTAAGATTCTGATGGTATTTTCTTTCCTTTACATGACTGTGATAGGTTAATAGTGGCTTTTTACTCTCTTTATGAGCGAGTCATTCAACTAACACATTCAAAAACGCTGATTCATTCAGGAACAAAACAACAGTGCTGTGATTATCTGAAATTTGAACACCACCTTACATGACTCAACCGACAAGCAATGCGCCTCCGGGGAAACTGAATGCCGAGAATACTTTAAAAAGTATTATAGTGTTTGCCTTTTTTTTATTAGACAGAACTGTTCAACTAAGACTGTAAACTACAGAAGACGGTTTCTCGGCGCTATCAAAATAAAAGTCCCGCTTACAACACGTAACAGCCCAACAGAAAAACTTGTCGTCAGCCTTGGCGAAATATCATTCAACCACTACTTGTAAATGTATACACCTTAGCCATTATTGTGATTTTTTTTTTTACACATATTATGAATTAGATTAACTTGGAGGTTGTACCACATGACATTTTACTACCTAAACCAGTGGTTCTCAACCCTGTCCTGGCGTACCCCCAACACTAGTGTTGGGGGTACGCCAGGACAGGGTTGAGAACCACTGACCTAAACAAACCAAAACATTCATAAAAATCTCATATAAAATGTACTTTAAATTATGTGAAATTTTTAGACTTATTGACCTTGACAGACAGTCATGAGGGTCTGCAGTTGTCCTCCCTATGCTACTACTTAATGTTAATGTTATGTCGGTTGCGCCACATGACTTGATTTGGTGCAACAACAACAAAAAATTCTAAGAAGCAATAATAAAACATGCAAAACTAGGTCCCCCCCCCCCCCCCCTTTTTTTTTTTATTAGGCTCTTCTCTTCATGATGATATCGGGACAGTTGTACCACTGACATTTTTTAGGACACGTGTTGTCCTGCGGTTGGATTGTTAGTGCCATGTATGTAAAAGCTCTATTGAAATGCTACTTCTGTCCACAGATGGTGGAAGGGCTTCTCGACTTCTGTTTCTACACGTTTGTGAATAAATCTCTGAGTGTGGAGTTTCCTGAGATGTTGGCAGAGATCATCAGCCATCAGCTACCAAAATTTAAAGATGGGAGTGTCAAGCCTCTTCTGTTCCATCAGAAATGACTGCCTTAGATCATAACAATGCCTTAACGCCACCCTTCCCTTACCAGCGCCAGTCCAACCTGCCCGCTTGCCCCCAAACATCCTGAATGAATTGAGCAATCGCTTCTGCTTGATTCTCAGAGGAGAGAGGTGAAGTTGGCTCTTCACAAATGTTTGTGGAGCAGGACAAAGGACAAAGCAGAGTCATGTACTCGGAGCAGACGGAATATGACTTTCAGAAAGACATATTTTAGTGATATTTTCTCTTTTTTTGCATGTACACTGCTGAAATGTTTACAAAGGTATATCAAAAAAAGGGAAATGTGCCTTTTTTGCGCTTTGCGAAATCAATTTCAGACATTTCTCAGGCTAACGCAATGACTTGGCATACACACTTTATGTCGACGACTCCCATTCGTCACGTCTGATTTCTTGTCAAAGATGGTTCTCTGTAGGGTGGCAGCTTAACGGTCCTCTGAGGTGCTCAAAAGTTTGAAGCAGCCCATGAAACATGAGACCCTTTTTGTTTTTGTTTTTTTGTTTTTCAATCTCATTGAAGTTCCACCGTGGAAATGCCATATGATAATTCAACTCGAATCAAGATCTGTTCCATGACTGGCAGCGAATACTAAGTTGTTTAAAATAGTTCACCCAAAAATGAAAATTCTTCCATCATTTACTCGCCCTCGTGTTGTTCCAAACTTGTATGCCTTTCTTTACTCCATGGAGCACAAAAGGAGGAATTCGAAATAATTCCCTGGTCAGTTTTCAATTCAGCTGGAGCTTTCAAGCTTCAAAAAATACACAAAAGCGCCATAAATGTATTGTTAAAGTGTCTCATATACCACTTATGTTGTGTGTTTCAGGTTTGATGAATTCAAAAGATAGCATGGTGGGATGAGCAAAACTGAAAATGTACCACTTCGATGAGAACAGACTAGTCCGATTCATAAACAAATCATTCATTTGCGAATTTGAATCATTCACGAATGATTTTGATCATCATTATCTTGAAAAAATCAAATAAATAAAAATCTGTGTTCCACGAAAATAAGCAATTCATACGGGAATAACATGAGGGTGAGAAACATTTTAATATATATTTTAAATAAGATATTACAAACTAACTTATTTCACTACAATTAAAATGGAAATACGTAATAGTATCTCAATTATACTTAAATAACACTGAAAAAAAAAAAAAAAAAAAAAGATTTTTCTTTGGGTGAACTTTTTATTTAACTGAAATTTAAACATATTATATTGACAGTTAATTATTAAAATTAATTGAGTTTTTATGTTAATTATTAGCTCAGGTTCACGTAAAATAAATGACCATCAGCACTTGGTAAGTCCTGGAATCAGTGGATAATTCAGGGTTATTTTGTCAAATTCCTGTCCATATTCAGCAGATTAGCATATCCCAGCATTCCCCTCCTCTCGACTGTGGTCTGTTCATGTCTTTGTGTGAATGTTTGTGCGTTTGTTTAAGTGCGTCTCGGACACCTCGGATTATTTGTGACCACTTTTGTTTTTGGTAACATCAGAACAAAAGGAACATTTGCTGTTCTCGTGCTCGAGTGTGTGTGTTACTGCGCTTTAGGGTGTCTGCACCAGCTAAGCTTCATTATTAGCCGAAAGGAATAATTCACTAAAAAATGAAAAATCTGTCATTATTTACTCATCATTATGTTGTTCCAAACTCATGCTGTTATTTTTCTGTCGCTATGAACCGTTGTATTGAAAAGTGCCGTGTGAAGATTCTTCGAAATGTCTTCTTTGAACATACGGGGTCGGAACGGCACGAAGGTGATTGACAGAATTGACATTTTTGGGTGAAATATTTCCTTTTTTTAAGATACATGTTGCACTTAAGTATCATGCACATTTCTGGAATTCCCATTGTTTGAGTGTATAAGACAACTGAACATTCAAAGATTGAACTAACAATGTTATTTAAAAAATAATACAACTAGATTTGGTCATTTAACAAGATTCCGCCATTTATTTAGCCGCTATGGTCATGTACAGTATTAAAACTCTCATGGTGAGCAGAGGGTTAAAGGTTCATTTCCAGTAATCCAGCCGAGTGTCGTCACATAATCCGGTGTGTGTTGAAGTGTTCGGTGTGTTACCAAGCCACTGTTTGTTTAACGCTAATTTCCAACAGCTTCATTAATATGACATGAAATCGAAATGTACGCGGTAAAAATCCCAATCACATATTTTGGCGTATTTTACGAGACTATTTTTTTTTACAAATTTCTCGCTAGGTTTCTGAGATGACGCATTTTCTAATTGTTTCACAATAGGCCTTGCAAAGGGAGTTTGTGAGCCATAAACCAGAGGTTGTATAAATTCAGAAAAAAGCTGAAGTGTCTAAAAAAAAATATTTTTTTTTTTGTTTGGTAATCATTGATCATTTTTAAAAGTAACTTAAATGAAAATATAATTACAGATACACTTTGATATACACATCATTTTACAAGAAAATTTTAATACATAAAGTTGTATTGCTATCTTTTTTGTGTCAAGAACTGTATTGCAGATGTTATATGTAAATGTAAATTCTATAAATCTATAGGGAATATACAAGTAATCACTGTTTTAAAGAATGAGAGCTTAAAGGTAGAAGTCGGGGGTCGCGAGTATAGTTTGTATAGTGGAACAGAGTGACCAAAGCAACGCAGATTTAAAAAAAAAAAAAGAAAAGAAAAAAAAAAACGAGAGAGAGAAAAAGAAATATTTAAAGCAGTTACATTTTACAGTAGCACTTACTACCCAAATCTAGTACTTTATTTTATCCTTTTCTATTTCTTTTATAAAGATTTAGGCTTTGGTCTCATACATAATGCTGTAAAATTAACTAGTAAAAAAAAATAATAATAAAATATAAAATAAAGCTGTGTGTAAAAGTAATGTATCAGAGCCTGAGAATTTGCACTACCCTAATACTGGCTTGACATAGTATATTTTGTACAAAATTTCATGCAAATACTATCTTTAAAGATTAAGGGCAAATCATATTTCACTGGTATATGGCTTTCATTAAAGTCTTTTTTTTTTTTTTTGCATTTGCATTTGAGTTATATAAAAGTAATCCAATGTAAAGGATATACAATGTCTATTTGTTTGAAAAATAGTTTTGTATGATTTCTGTATTACACCTCTCCTGTAGTCAATGTCGATCATTACACATATTTGATTAAATGTTGGATAAAATTTGTTCAGAGGAGGACTGTGTGTTTTTATACTGTGAGATCAATGTGCTAATTTGCTATTTTTCCCCATTGTATCTGAATGTTAACACAAATCTACACTTGGACATGCTGGTTTATTTTCTTCTCAATCCTATATCTGGTCCGCAATGTTCAGAAACCGATTGACGTTTAAAAAAAAAAAAAAAAAACACCAACAAAAAAGACCTGTACAATATTTCTTCTGAACCAATTGTATTCCAATTAAATCAAGCAATTTCTAACCCCCCCCCCATAAAAAATAAATAAAAAATAAACATAAATTTGTATTTAAATGAACAATAAACATTTTTATTGAATAGAAAAAAAATCAAAACAACTGAACCATGTTTTTATTTATTCAATATTCTAAAGAATGTTAAGGCTCATAAAATTGTACACGATTTTTTTTTTTTTTTTAATGTAAAAAGATCAATTGGGCTATCAAAAAAATTAAGTTAGTTTGCTACAATAAAAATATATATAATTCACATTTTACAAAAATTTTTTATACTTTATCAATTGTCGCTTATTTACAATGTTAATACACTCCAAAAGAACACAAATCTCATCAGAGATAATGCTTAAATAAGAGTGGTTTACATGACGTTAATTCACATTAAGAAATAATTTACGCTTTTCCACTTACATGCTAAGAAAGGAGAAAAAATTCAATTCTAAAAAAAAAAAGAAGATTTAATTGCTTCCTGATATACAAAAGAGTGCAATAGTTCCCCCCCTAATTAACAGTTATCTCTTAGTAGTTCTAAACAAAACAGTTATGAGGACATGAAAGACACAAAAAAACACATTCAAAAAGCCCCAGACTGCATAGAAACAGCACATATTACATCATGGTGAACCAGGAAGTGCTCACATATTTATAAAAAAAACCCAAAAAATCATGATAAGCCCTGTTTGAAAATCTAAGAGTTTCTTGATTGTGGCCGAAGCGGCATCGACAACTTGGTCCCAGGGTCCCAATGATGCGCTAGAGAAATGCCACAGTTGCCAAAAACCCATAACATCGGACAGACACGCTCAGGCATGCTAATGTGGCTTTTCTGTCAAAGTCCAGTTTTTTGCCTCGCCAAAGACTCCAAGCATCGACTCCAACCAACAGCGTCTAAACGAACTCCACGTAGTTCTCCGGAATTAACCCCGTCTTCCCATCCAAGGTGCCCTCCAGCCAACCTGGTTCTCTAGACCGATGAACTATGAGACAAAGATGCAAAAAGCAAGATTGTTTTGGGGTCGCATTGACAACTTTATCCTCTAGTTATCCTCTTATTTCCACAGTGCACAAAGGAATAAGTGTTCCAGATTCAAGTTAAGCTCTACAGTATGTGCGGCATCTGTTGCTTAATGTTGATTAACCACCACCAAAAAAACCGTCGACTCATCCCTGAGTTCTAATAGAAGTTGACTATCCCCAAAAAAATCATCTGGAGAATTTGAAGCCTCTATTGAATCTTGCAGTAGAGCACGCCTGAGGTTTCATTAAACACTAATCTAATCTACTGCTCCACAGTGTCAAATGTCAAACCGTGGAAGGTGCGATCTCTGATACCTGTTGAGGGGCAGGAGCTGGAACAAAGCAGATATATCGATTTGCTGCTCCTACGCCAACGCTCAAGGCTCCAACCTCCCTAACTAACCAAATATAGTACAGATACTGAGGTTTAAAAACGGAGACGTACCATTGTCGAATACGGTCCCTGCGATAAAGGACAGCTCAGAGTCATGCTCAGCCTTGCAGGCGTAGAGTGCACGTGCTTTTCGGAGCGGAGTGCTGGAAAAGAAAAGAACATTTGTTAGGGCTAGTAATGAATTCAACATTTTAATTGAATTAA